TTTTCGGGTCCAGGATAACGGCAAATATATGTAAAAGCACACAACCAATTTGATAGAGTTGCCTGTGCAGTGCAAAAACAGTTTTCATGAAGGATTGACTTGCTCACAGTTCAAGTCTTCCTCTTGTGACTAGTGCAAATCAGCACTGCACAACAAATTGAGAGTGGCAGTGACATCATAAAACCCCTGCATACACATTTGGACATAGTAGATGCTTCATTACCCACTTCCTGCCGGGGATTCCGGATCCAGACAAGTATGCTTTATATGCATGGCTGGCGTCTCCGAACTCGGACAAAGGGAACAGGGCCTTGTAACAAAAGACCGTACTCGGAACAAAAGACCAGGCTGCTGGGCATTACCAACATTTTTTCACTCTCAAAAGTGGAGATAATCCAGCCTTGTTTTGAAACAGTATACCATGGTTTGGGGCATTTAGAGTAAGCGGATTACCACTGCGGACAAAAGTGCTCTACCACCACAGCGATGAGCCACACAGCACCACTGCATGCTAATCTGGCCCCTATTAAAAAGTGGTCAGCAGCGCACTGAGCCAGGTTCGTGAACAAAAGAAAGTTATATAACACTTTCTTAAAAGAATTTTGAAAACAGAAAAAAATGATAAATATCCCGGCCCAGCATCATCAACAATGATAAATGCAGGAAGTGGTTAATGATCATTTTTAAATCTGCAAATATAGAATGTTTGGATTAAATTCCGTACACACAAAGTTTCTTCATCTTTTTGGAATCACTGGACAGGTGAAAAATTTCACCACCTTTTTATACACAAGTCCACCTTTTTATACACAAGTTCATAGGTTCTGTACAGTACATTCTGCACACATGCACGCATCATATTTAGTCCTTCGCCTTGTGCATCTTGCCCTCACTGTCAGTTCATCAAAACATATCCCTGTCACAGATGATCCGTTTTGGCTTTACAACAAGCCATCAGGAAGCAGCCGGCCTTCGAAAAGCAAAATACAAATTCTGTGCTAAGGTGTGCATAGAGAAGTCGGGAACAAACAACCCTGTGCGGCACCTTCGGACGAACCATCCTTCAAAATCAGTAGGCCTACTGTACAGTCCAGACATAGGGTGCCACTCAACTTGATCCGTAATCAACTCGGAAATATTGTACACAAAAACTTACATTTTCAGTCTTTTCCAAAAATAGCCAATAACGAGGCCTTTATGACCAAACTGACAAAAACAGAGCATAACTGATGAACTGCATCCAAGTTAAAAATAAGCAATTTTTTTCCAAAAGGACCAAGTTGACCTGGGACTGAGTGGACTCAGACCGAGTTGGTTATGGACCGAGTTGACCATACATAGACCCGTGAATGTACATGGTTTTTCACGGTCAAGGCTACTCTCCTGATTCATTTTAAATGCTTTCAAAAAGCAGGCATCGCCACAAGAGAGTGTCTGTTTGAGTCCCGGAGTGGCAGATATCCTATGCAACTGAAAATTCTTGGATAGGTACATGTACTTATGTAAGTACAGTGCACTGATCCTGCTCGTCAAATTTCGGACTGAAACATAAACTTTTGAATGAATCACGCTCGTGGAATAGCATTGTACATGTATGTGACCGGGTGGCTCCACTAATAAAAACTCTGGGTGAAGTTTTTTTGAGTTTTCTGTCTCGTACATGTAATGTACTATGTTTTATTCTATGTACAAAGGGAATAGTGGTGGCCGGAATGGCGATCACCTGGACAAAATACAGAGAATTAACACAGAAAATTATATAACCAATAAATTATGCTATCCAATAGCCAATTACATTTACTATTT